AGTAGAGTGCCCTCTCCGGGTCAGGGAAGAGGTCCTGCCCCAAGTGGAGGAGTTCAAGTATCTTGGGGTCTTGTTCACGAATGAGGGAAAAATGGAATGTGAGATCGATGGGCGGATAGTTGCAGTGTCTGCAGTGAAGCAGGTGCTGTACGGGTCTGTCGTGGTGAAGAGAGAGCTGAGTCAAAAGGCGAAGCTCTCAATTTACTTATCGATCTACGTTCCTACCCATATCTATGGTCATGAGCTTTGGGTTGTGACCGAAAGAACGAGATCTCGGATACAAGCAGTGGTGGAGAAAGTACTCAAACACTGTACTTAAGTAAAAGTAAAAAAATAAACAGACAAAAATGTACTCTTGTAAAAGTAGAAGTACCACATTAACATGTTTACTTAAGTAAAAGTAAATAAGTACTTGCTTTTAAAATACTTAAAGTATTAAAATTAAAAGTACTTGCTGAATGTATTACCTAATGTAATGGTATACATATCTTTAAGTCTGTGTACCATATGTATATTTTCTGTAATACATTAATAGTGTTGAGTCATTTTAATAAACAATGCTGCAGATAATACATATTTTTATTGTGTTTACTCTGTGACAGAGTTCACACTTGGACTTGTGATTCTGTGCATCAGAAATTCAGGGATGACCTGCAGAGTTAAATGTCATTAAGCAAAATAAGAAAGAGGAATGATTTTACCTTTGAAAGTTTCTATTTAACACAAAGCAAAACCAATGTGTCATTTTAACTGCAGTAAACACATTTAAGTAAAAGTTGTCTGCCTGAAAAAAGGAGCGTTAGACACAACTAACAAAGGAACAGGCTCTGATCATTTCCACTGATATTTCAACTCCAGTTTGTCATCAACTCGAGTTAAAATACTGTCTAGTCGACCTTGTAATGGGTCAATATTGACCAATATTTTAACTTCCTGACACCATTTTTAAAACTTGGACCCAAGTGTCGAGACATTTGGAGACATCTCATCTCCTGTCCTAACATCATGAACTGACACATTTTAATATTGCAGCAAGAATTTCTTGTTCAAGTTCAGAAGAAGTTGGTTTTCAAAGATTTTTGAGTCCAATTTGGCTCTTTTGGGAGAGAGGAGCTGTCCTGTTGTACTGAGCAGTCTTTCAATAAGGCCCTGGGTGGAGCATACCTTCTGGCTGACTCTCTTGCGGTGGAATACATTTTGGGTGCGTTAGCGGTGCTACAGGTGCACCCAGCTCAGTGACATATATACTAGAATATATGTCATTGGCCCAGCTCTTCTTGAAGGTGGGTCTAATGTTACCTGCCCACTTTGCAGTGATTCAATGGACCAGCTCCCCTCTCACCATTGGTTACTTTCAAAGTAACAAACAAATCAAAAAGCCGCAACATGAATGTAACTTGTAATGCAGCACCTTATAGAAATGTAGTGTAGTAGAAAGTACAGATACTTGATGGAAAATGTAGTGAAGTAAAAGTATAAAGTACCCACATTTAACTCTACTTAAGTAAAGTACAGATACACAAAAAATGTACTTAAGTACAGTAACAAAGTATTTGTACTTAGTTACATCCCACCACTGGATACAAGCGGCCGAAATGAGTTTTCTCCGCAGGGTGTCTGGGCTCTCCCTTAAAGATAGGGTGAGAAGCTCGATCATCCGGGAGGGACTCAAAGTAGAGCCGCTGCTTTTCCACGTCGAGAGGAGCCAGTTGAGGTGGCTCGGGCATCTGGTTAGGATGCCTCTTGGACGCCTCCCTGGTGAGGTGTTCCGGAGACGTCCCACTGGGAGGAGACCCAGAGGAAGACCCAGGACATGCTGGAGGGACTATGTTTCTCGGCTGGTCTGGGAACGCCTCGGGATTCCCCCGGAGGAGCTGGCCCAAGTGGCTGGGGAGAGGGAAGTCTGGGCCTCCCTACTTAAGCTGCTACCCCCCGAAAGCCAAAAGCATGCATGACTGATTGGTAACTCTATATTGTCCCTAGGTGTGAGTGAGAGAGTGAATGGTTGTTTGTCTCTATGTGTCCCTGTGATGGACTGGAGACCTGTCCAGGGTGTACCCCGCCCCTCGCACAGTGATTGCTGGACATGGGCACCGGTGACCCCCGTGACCCAATATGGAAGAAGCGGGTGAAAGATAATGGATGGATGGATGGATTGGACATGACACAATTGGCTGATAGATGGATGAGCTATGGATTGTTTATTTAAAATAAATTATTTTAAATGATTTTGCACCATGTGTGCAGCTCACAAGTGCAGGGGAAGCTCCGCCTGCAGCCTGTCATGATCTGGCCTGGCACTTGTCATGACAAAGTTTACTGAACTTGAACTGAACTTGAACTGTACTACTGTATCCCTAGGTCGTGGTTTTTCACTTATCACAGGGGGGGGCAGGGTACTGAACACCCGTGATAAACAAGGGATTACTGTACTGAAACTTACCTAAATACCTCAAGGGCATTTAAACACGAAGTTTTCTCATGAGTTTGAACATTTATGGTTTAAAGCAAATGAACTACACTTACCCTCTTACAACATACTATACAACACCTCTAAACAAACTGCAAACTGTGTAGTGAACTTAACCTGATGTCAAAACTAAGCCTAAGGTCAAAACCCTTGACCTTAAGAACCTTGTGGGACAGAAACTGTCATTTCATTGATTTGAATCCAGAAATACAGGTTCACCCATCCTGAGACTTTCTTTCTTGAAAATCAAGTGAAAGAACACTCTCTTTTTATTATCATTACTATTTTACAAATGTTGATAATCAAAGTGTCTTAGTTCAAACCATTTTAGATGTTGCAGTGAACTAATCAATTTTATTAACTGTGAAACAGTGTAATGATTTTTTAATCCTCATGCAAAGTTAGAATTCATGTTAAGGCCTGTTATAGAGTAATCATGCATTTTCTGTTTTCTGTCTTTGAATGAGCAAGTGTGCGTTTTCCAAGGTCAGGAGTCGAAGCAGACATGTGTCTTGTTTTACATCCTCTCAGACGTCAACGGAGAAGTTGGCACCTGTTTCTCCAAACTCGCCAAAACAAAACTCTCTCTGTCTCTGAGAACAGTTTTAATCTGTTCCATAACAATTCTTGCTGTTTTCTGACTTCTAGTAACCTCTTACATCACAAAACACACCCCTGTCTGGTTGATATTGACCAATCAGGAACGCTCAAATATACCGGAAATAGAGCTCTTTAAAATGCCGGTACTTCCTAGTTCTCTCAGTCTGAGAAGTTCTAAGATGTTCGCAGTTCTGTGAAGTCGTTTGGGAGAACAGAAGTCCAGCCATGATAAGGCTCTTCCGAGTTTGGATTATAACATCTTCCACCTCTGAGTGGAACTTCTGAAGGACTCCACTCATGTGAAGTCCACTTGCTGAGGTGAGCTTGTGTCGGATGGAATATCGTCACTACTTCGGACGAGTCACAGCCATCCTATGGAGACGCTGGACAGGTAGCGTTAACTGGAACTCCATATCTGCTGATTCATCTTCAGAGAGGTAATGAGTCAAGTTTACTACCAAGCGTACCGAGGAAAAGCTGGGTTCGAATGGAGAGTGTCGGTTCTGGTCAACACTCCCCCTCACACACCATCTTTTACTTCCTTTAAACTCCATCTTTCCATCTTTAAACTCTCCTATCTGCTAAAATCATTACAGATAATTTTTAGAAATGTCTGAAGCAAAGTTCTCATCCACCGCCATGTGGATAATTGATCATAATTGTACAGCTCGCTGATTAATGATGTTGTTATTTTCATATTTTGCCAAATTAATGTAAATGTTTGATGTTAAACTTTGATTCTGTAAAATAAATGACCACATTCATTTTGATGGGTCAAAGATAAATGACGTCTCACGTTACATTTCATTAAATTCAATGCACGTTTTATTCAGTCCAGAAAAATGAAGAATCCGTTTTAATTGATGAATATATCTCAGCATCTGTTCATCTACAACTGTAAAGTTTCTTGTATTTTAGTCACGTGTAGACTTAAACACTCATCAGTGGCCGCACGCCTGTGAAGAACACCAACAGATAAGGTGCATGAAATGCATGTCAGTTGTTTAAGAGGCACTTCCATTCCCTCCTTTGCAAAAGAAATCCGTTGCCTGATTAAATAAATACAGTTGTCCCTCGTTTATTGCGGGTGTTAGGTTCCAACCCCCCACCTACAGTAAGTGAAAATTTGCAAAGTAGCAATGTTATATTTCTTTTAGTATTTTATATATTTTAAGGCTTTAGAAACCCTTCCCACACTCTTGCAACGTTCTAAACTCTTAAACCTATGTCATTTTAACAGCATACATGTATGTATCTAGATGAAGGAAGAGGGTTACCTGCATCATGAAGGACCTCACTCACCCAGCACACACACTTTTTGCCCCACTCCCCCCAGGAAGGAGGTTGAGGAGCATTAAGTGTAGAACCACTAGACTGAGGAACAGCTTCTACCCTGAGGCTGTTAGACTCATGAATATCTAACTAGAATAATCACTGTGAAAAATCACATCATGTTGCTGCTGATCTGTTTCAATGTTGATGTGTTCATGCGTGCACATCCGCTCACACAGACTCATGTTCATGTTTGTGCTGATGTTCAATGTTTTTATGTTATGAGTGCTTAGTGTATATTTAGTTGATGTTTTTCTTAGTTCATATCTTAGATGTTATTACTGTTTTTCTGATACATTTAATTGTTGGATGTAACTGGGACCCTGTGTACATAATTTCACTCCACCACATGTACCACATGAGATGCGAAAGACAATAAAGAATCTCTGACTCTGATGTACTGTATATGTAGCTGGTAAATTTTACTCACCACTCTACAGAACAGCAGCAGCTCTGTTACAGTCCTACTCTGTTACAGTCCAATTCTGTTCTGGTCCGACTCAGGTCCATTTCTGCAGTGACAATCAATGTTCTAAAATTTTAAACCTACTAATTTTAACAACATACTTATATGTAACTTCTAAATTTTACTCACCAGCATGTCTCCGCTCCGAGGTCCTTGTGGGCCAGTTGCAAGAGATGGAAAAAGCCCTGGTGAGCTCCGGATGAAGCGCTGGACCTTCGGCCATGTGCATCCTGCTCAAAATCCTCATGGGCCGGCTACCAGTACTCAAGATTCAGGTCTGGAGGTCTGATTCTGCTCTGGTTCAGGTTCAGTTTGGTGAGTTTCGTGCGGCTCTGCATCCGCTGGGCACCACATTCACTGTAACAAGCGCCAAATTTTTTCTGATCAGATCAAAACTTTCCCTCCAGTTTTTCAGCAGAAGGAAACGGGGCTTTTGGGTGGGGCACTGTTGACTTCTGGGAAATGTAGTCATTATGAGCATGGATACAGTATAGGCTTATTGAGAGAAAACAACAAAATGGTGGTGCCTGTCCGAAGTATTTTATTTTTTCGTTCATTTTTCACTGTACAGTACTGTATCCAGTACTGTCCCAATCACGTGAGTAATATTAAAGTAGGCATTCATGTGTCCTGTACAATTTTGTTTTGTACAACATTATGGACTGTACGTCCACAAACTGTGATGGAGAGAGTCTACGAAAGTCAAACTACGAAATAGTCAGGGACTACTGTTATAGTTTATTAGGAGTGTCTCTGACTGACTTTTCATGAAATTCCTCATTTTCCTGCCTCCACACATCATCAAAAAAGGAGAATCACACATGTAGGACAGGTTTACATCAATTTGGTCATTGAAATGGAGGTGTGTCGGGGGGGGGGGGGGGTATTTAATGTGCCCTCAGTTCTATGTTTGTTGGGATCATTGAAGGAAAGGAGTACGGAAACGTAACTGTGCACAATTTGATAAATCTGAATATTTTTGTGTGTACACACTTCTCCAATTTGGTCAGTTCACTAACTTTCAGTATGAAAGCTGCAGACTCATTGATACATGAGGCCCCATATCACCAGACTGTATCACTGAATTTCTTGCACCAACAGAAAGAGACAGAGCAGCTCTTCATTCATTCCTGGACTTAACCTCCATGTACATCAAGTTTTTAACCAAGTTACACAACAAGAGCTACTCTGAATAATTACTAGTGGTACTAGTGATACGGGGAGGCTGTGACTGAGTGGTTAGAGCAGTCGTCCTCCAATGCGAGAGTTGGGGGTTCGAATCCACCAGCAGTCACATGCTGAAGTGTCCTTGGGCAAGACACTGAACCCCTCATAGCCTCTGATGTGTGTGCCATCAGTGTATGAATGTGACCTAAAGCACTGATTAGTCTCATTAGAATGATTTGTTCAATTAGCTTTGTAGAAATCTAGTAGAGTGCTGTATGAATGGGTGAATCAGGACACAGATTGTAGTGTAAAGCGCTTTGAGTATCTTGAAATAAGATAGAAAGGCGCTATATAAGTACAGTCCATTTACCATTTACCATTTACTATTGTAAATAGACTGATGCAGCAAACAAAAGTTTCAATGATCTCAAAACAACACTTCTGAAAACCCAGCACTTGTGGTCTACAACCCTGAGCTGTCATCATTTATCACAACTGGCCTCAAACAATGAACTGGGAGCAGTTCTGACACAGTCCAATTCAATTCAGTTTATTTATATAATGCCAAATCACAGCAGAAGTCTTCTCAGGGCACTGAACAGAAACAATCACGTACATACAAAAGCCAGTTGGTAAAAGTTATCTATGTAAAACACGTTGTTGCTTTTGCTTCTTACACCCGATCTCCGGCCAAATAGAAGTACTCCACGTTAGAAATAAAGGCTCTCACTTGTGTGGGCAATTTAAAGATGGAGAACATGGAGACCAAGATCCATGTTCAGAATGAATCAACAAGCTCTTAGCCACTCTGCTAAGCACCAATGAAATGAATAGAGCTAGCATGAGAGTTGCACGCTGGTAAACCATGGACCATCTACCTGCTGGGGGGGGATTATAATCGGTTTCCATGCCAGAGAAGATACTTAATTCCTCCAGTGACTTAAATGTCTTCCTTAGGGTCTCCTGTCTGTGGGATAAATTGTCCAAACCACTACAATATACTCATTTTGATGTGAAGCTCTACTCCAAGCTTCCCACTGATGACAATGCTTCCCCCCTCATTTCTACAGCTGAGCCCAACCACCGTAAGGTAGAAGCTCATTAAAGCCACTTGTACATGGGATCTTATTCTTTCTGTGACAATCCTTAGCTCTTGACTATAGGTGAGTGTTGGAAAGTAGACAAACCAGTAACTCAAGAGCTTTGCCTTTAAGGTCAGCTCCATTTTCACCACACCAGACTGGAGCAATACTTTTATTACTGTGGCTGAGGCCACGATCCGTCAATCTATCTCCTGCTCCCATCAGTCAGGAACAAGACACCCAGATACTTGAACTCCTCCACTTGGTGCAGGAACTCATCCCCGACCCAGAGAGCATTACATGTTTGTCTCCGGTATAACTCCTTGGAAATTAAGGAGATCTTTCATGCTCCCTGTAAAACAACCTCCCTCTTCCTATCCTCCTCCTGTTTTAAAGGATTGAAGTTGTCCCACCTCAGCCCAGTGGACTTTCTTTTCTCTGTTCTATGTTAAAACCTCTGCCAGCTTCCTCCCCTCCTGTAATAGCACCATCTCCACTCATCAATAATGCAGAGAGGGTAAGTACATGAGACCAAAAGAACTGATGTTTCCTGCAGATGGCTGTACAGGAAGGGGGTGTTTGTAAGGGTGTGTGTTTAGCTTCACACCTCATCTCCTTTCTGAAAATGTGTTAATATGCACAGGGAAGATTGTGTGAAGGGGTGATTGCCTCATCTCAGTAGAACACAGACAAAATGAACCAAGTAGCTGACAGCAGGGAAACACCACATGCTCTCACATGCATGAAGCTTCACATGCTCATGTGAGTGAGTCTTTGTGTACCACGTAAAATGAAGTTGGAATTCAGAGAGTCAGAGAGAGTCAGAGATTCTTTATTTTTTTATGAAAAACATCAACTAAATATACACTAAGCGCTCATAACATAAAAACATTGAACATCAGCACAAACATGAACATGAGTCTGTGTGAGCGGATGTGCATGCATGAACACATCAACATTGAAACAGATCAGCAGCAACATGATGTGGTTTTCACAGTGATTATTCTGGTTAGAGATTCATGAGTCTAACAGCCTCAGGGTAGAAGCTGTTCCTCAGTCTAGTGGTTCTACACTTAATGCTCCTCAACCTCCTTCCTGAGGGGAATGGGGCAAAAAGTGTGTGTGCTGGGTGAGTGAGGTCCTTCATGATGCAGGTAGCCCTCTTCCTGCATCTAGAGGTGTAGATGTCTGTGATGGTGGGGAGGCTGACTCCGACAGTCTTCTGTGCAGCCGAGAATTCCTGGAGAAAAATGAGAGGACATTCTTTCTTAAGACAAAGTGAGACAATGTTATTGTGTGTGTGAGGGGGAGGGTGGGTGGGGGAGATGGGGGGGGGGGGTGACCAAGATGTGAAAGAGAAAGGAAGAAAGTGTGTATGAGTGCTGCTCCTGTATGTTTCTGTCCAGAAAGAACTTTGTTTGTGCGGGAGGAGTTCTGAGAACAATGATGGGTCCTCGTCTTTACTTCCTTTCCCTCTATTGCCCCTTTTCCATTAGTACCGGTACAGGCCGACTCGACCCTACTTGGCCCGGTTCTGAGGCTTTTCCATTAGTACCGGTACTTAGCACCTGTTACTATTTTCATTACCCTTGGCTCTGTGGTTCTAACCGGTACGAAGAGGTACAAAAACGTGACGTCAGTACACTGTCGGTCACTGATTGGTCGGGGGCGGAGTCGGGGGCGGAGTCACTGGATCCTTCAGAAACGTTTTAAAACAATAATCCGCCATTTGCAATTTCTCGGACTGGAGCAGCGGCTGGACTTATTTTAAAGATTTTAAAAACAATACTGACAACATCTTGGTCTAATGTTGATGTGCTGGCATTTTTTGTGCTTGGTGGCCGACAACATATTTCAGAGCAAGCTGGATGAAGCTCTGCTGGTGTACCCCGATCCTCCCTCCGGAGCCTCCGAGCGCCAGACCGGGCAGGGCGTCATCTCCCCGGCTCCAAGTTCAGCTGGTCACCGCGGAAGATCCTTCGATGTGCCGACTCGGAGGCTCGGGTTCTGGATACCAGCCTTGTGTGCTCAGAGCTCCGCAGGTCACTGCGAAGCTGGAGATGGGGACTCGCAGATGGCCGTTGCCAGACCCCGGCCACGCGTAATCATGAAGGCTGAATCCCGATCCCACCCGGCAGTCAGGCGGACTGGACAGTCTAGGATTTATATATTTTTAAATAAAATAATATTTTGTTTTTATACAAAAAAAAATGCTGAAGCGATTTAAAAATGATTATTATTTTTTTACACGTAAAATGTTTTTTAAAATCGCTTCCACCGTTCGTCGCAGACCCGTCTCTGTCCACCTGTCTGCGCGGGTCGGGCCTTCATGATTACACGTGGCTGGAGTCTTGGAACAGCCTCTGTGAGTCACCAGCTGAGCTGGAGCTGGGAGGATGAGCCTCCCAGCCTCCTCCTCTCCGGAGGACAGGATCGTGTGACTGCGGGCAGTGTCGTGCGAGACCAGCAGAGCGTTGAAGATTAATAAAAAATAAAAAAAAACGGTGCCAGCTTCATCGTGAAATCCTGTTTTCACTTTAATGACTGTTAACTCAGCTGGAAATCATAAAAAGACACAAAACTATTGGATCTCAGAAATATTTCCCTCAAACATGTTTAAAGAAAAGAGACGACCTTCAGTTCAACTTTATTTTAACTCACAAATGTACAAATCACAAAACAAGAACTTTAAAGCAAAGCTAAAAATAAAATGTATATATGTGAACAAGAAAGGAAACCACACATCTAAAATGAACATTAAAAGTAGACACAATGAGTGCAAATACATCAAATGATGATGAAAACCTATAAAAATTTAAATGTAATGTTTTTGTAGAATCTGGTTCATCAGAGTTTTAATTTATATACATATATATATATATTTATATCTATAAATAAATATAGATAAATATATATGTATATATATATATAAATACATATATATGTATATAAATATATATGAATATATATAAATACATATATATGTATATAAATATATATGAATATATATAAATACATATATATGTATATAAATATATAGGAATATATATAAATACATATATATG